GCTCCGTGCCCCGCCGTCCGTCGCCGCCAACCGCCGTCGCCACCACCGCCGGGCCGTCGCCGCCATCGTCCCCGCCGCCTCCGCCCGGCGTCGCCGCCGCCACCACCGCGGCTAGCGCCGCCGTCCCAGCCTCCTCCGCCGTCGTCATCGCCGTCGCCGTCGTCTTCCATGTCCTCTTATTGGGAGGAGGAGGAGGAGGCGGTGGAGGAGGTGGAGGAGGAGGCGGAGGAGGAGGAGGTGGAGGAGGAGGAGGAATACTTTGAATAATAACCAGAATTATAATAACCAGAATTATCGACAATCATCATAACATTATTGCTCATAAAATTAATATTACGATCAAGCATCACATTAGTCAGAATAATAATACGAGTAATAATAGTATGAACGGCAATCGTCATATAATTAATACTGCGATTGAACGGCAATGAAGAATGATAGTCATATAATTAATACTGCGATTACTTCTTCCACTGTCAACAATGATGATATTCATACAATGAAGAATGATAGGGAGGAGGAGGAGGAGGAGGAGGAGGAGGAGGAGGAGGAGGAGGAGGAGGAGGAGGAGGGGAGGGGGGGGAATAGGAGGAGGAGGAGGATGAGGAGGATGAGAAGGAGGAGGAGGAGATGGAGGAGGAGGAGGAGGAGGAGGAGGAGGAGGAGGAGGAGGAGGAGGAGGAGGAGGATGAGGAGGAGGAGGAGGAGGGGGAGGAGGGGGAGGAGCGGGAGGAGAAGGAGGAGAAGGAGGAGGACGGGAATCAGATGAGACAAAACACAGGAGGAGGGGGAGAAGGGCGGGGTGAGGGGCGGGAGGAGGAGGAGGAGGGGGAGGAGGAGGGGAGGAGGTGGAGGAGGAGGAGGCGAGGAGTGGGAGGGGAGGAGGAGGAGGAGGAGGAGGAGGAGGAGGGAGGAGGTGGAGGAGGAGGAGGAGGAGGAGGACAAGGGGGAGGAGGAGGAGGAGGAGGAGGAGGAGGAATAACAATAATAACGATCAGAGTACTTTTATTAATACTAATAATAATAATGATACTAATAATAATAGTAATGATAAGAAGACGAAGGCGACGAATAATACTAATAATAATACTACCACGAATGATACTACTAATAATATGAATAAGACTACGAATAATAATACTACGAATGCTAAGAATAATACTGCGACGACTAATCAGAAAACGAATACTAATACGACGAAGCTTTGAAGACGAATCATTTTACGACTAATAACAGTAGGACGAATAATACTACTACTAAGACGAATAATAATAGTACGGATACGGATGCCAATATTAAAACGAATGCTAATATTATTAGTGTTAACACATATTTCGCCGATGGAGTTCCCCACACAATGATGTTACGGGGCTATCGGGATAAAGGGGCATTTTGTCATGAAATGGCCGACCGGCCCTCACCCCTTTCCATCCTTTTCTATCACCCTCCTCCTTCTCCGCTGTCTCTTCTTCGTCCTCGTGCTTCTCCCCTATCATCCTCACTCCTCCTCCTCTTCCTCCTCCTCCTCCTCGCCCTCCTCCTCCTCTTCCCTTTCCTCATTCTCTTCCTCGTTCTCCTCCTCGTCCTGCGCCATCTCCTCGTCTTTCTCGTTTTCCTCCGTTTCCTTCTCTTTGTCCGTGTTCTCCTCCTTCGTTCTGGCGGGGCCTCCGTGAAGGGGTGGGAGGGGCACGACACCTGATAAAAGCATGGTGTGCCGATACCCTGCTCGCTCTGGCGGGGCCTCCCTGGAGGAGTGGGAGGGGCACGACACCTGATAAATAGTATGGTGTGCCGATACCCTCCTCGCTCTGGCGGGGCCTCCCTGGAGCAATGGGAGGGACACGAAACCTGATAAGTAATGTGGTGTGCCGATGCCCTCCTCGCTCTGGCGGGGCCTCCCTGGAGGGGTGGGAGGGGCACGACACCTGATAGATAATATGGTGTGCCGATACCCTCCTCGCTCTGGCAGGGCCTCCCTGGAGGGGTGGGAGGGGCACGACACCTGATGAATAATATGGTGTGCCGATACCCTCCTCGCTCTGGCGGGGCCTCTCTGGAGGGATGGGAGGCGCACGACACCTGATGAATAATATGATGTGCCGATACCCTCCTCGCTCTGGCGGGGCCTCCCTGGAGGGATGGGAGGGGCACGACACCTGATGAATAATATGATGTGCCGATACCCTCCTCGCTCTGGCGGGGCCTCCCTGGAGGGGCGGGAGGGGCACGAAGCCTGATGAATAATATGGTGTGCCGATACCCTTCTTGCTCTGGCGGAGCCTCCCTGGAGGGGTGAGAGGGGCACGAAACCTGATGAATAAGATGGTGTGCCGATACCCTCCTCGCTCTGGCGGGGCTTCCCTGGAGGGGTGGGAGGGGCACAACACTTGATGAATTATCTGGTGTACCGATACCCTCCTCGCTCTGGCGGGGCCTCCCAGGAGCAGTGAGAGGGGCACGACGCTTGATACATAATATGGTGTGCCGATACCCTCCTCGCTCTGGCGGGGCCTCCCTGGAGGGGTGGGAGGGGCACGACACCTGATAGGTATGGCATGGTATATTATGATAGGCCTGATATGGTAGGTATGGTCTAGTATGGAATTGTATGGTATGGTAGGTATGGCATGGTAGTAGAATGTGGTACGTATGGTATGGTATGGCAGGTATGGTTTGTGTATGATATGGTAGGCATGGTATGGGGGTGCGTGCACATGAGATGTAAACTAGCGGGCCCTGTCGTGGACCCCAACCCTCTCGGTGCGTGGGCGCGTGGATAATCGCGCTTCGCCCCTCGGGGGTCTGTGCTCCGTCGTGCTTGCACTGATTTGGGAAATTGCACTGCGGTGCCGAACAGCTTCTCTGTAGCTGCTCCGTTTTGGCTGAGTGGTTTCTCTTCGACCTGCGGCCTCGAGCTGCATGCGGCCCGGATACCTTCCGCAGATCCTCAGTGGCCCGATAGCCGCGGGGCTTCTCGCGCTGGGCTCGCGGAGGCAGCCCTGCCCCGCGCCCCCGGAGCCGCCGAGCTGCCCCGAGACGTGCGCGGAGGCGCCGGCCTGCGTGTGCCCAGGGGCGCCGGCGTGCGTGTGCCCGGAGCCCGCGGCCTGCCCGCCGACGGAGCTCGGCTGGGAGGAGGTGCTGATCATCGGCGTGGCCACTTGGGCGGTGCAGACGGGCGTCGGTGGGGTCGCGAGCGTGGGGCGCAGGCTCCTCGGTCGCGGCAGAAGCCATGGCGCTCGTTGGGCTCGACGCGGAGGCGGAGTTCTTGAGGCGCCTCCTGCCAGGTAGGCACTACCTGGCTTGGTGCGATGGGGACGATGTCTACCACGAGCGGGTGGCTTTGTGGCCGCAGACGCACGCCAGATGGGTCATCCTGACCCCGGATTTTGACATGTACTCGGAGATGCTGGACGGCAGCGAGGGCGTCGACGGCGTGGTGCGGATCATCGGCCTGCGCCCAGACGGGCGTCTCCCCCGGCTCGACAAGCCCGCCTACAGGTTCAAGCAGGCGCTCGACCTGGACGCCTTGAAGGGGTACATCCGCGAGGGCCGGCGCCTTGCCCTGCAGGACGGTGCCGCGGCGGGTGACCCGCCGATTGAGGTTGCTGACGTGGTGATGCCCGATCGAGAGGTGGTGCCGCTGGACACCATGTTCGGCGGCCGCTTCCTGCCTCGCCGCCTCCCCTTGCGCCGCGGCGCAGCGGCGGCGGCGGCTGGGGCCGACGACGGGCCCCCTGGCGACGCGGCGGCGGGCTCCGACGCTGGCGCGGCCCCTTCGCTGGCGGCTGTCGGCGACGGCGCCAGCCCAGTGTATCCCCAGGCGGGGCCGCTGGACACGCCGCGCGGCTACGCGTGGCTGCTCATGGAGGGCGGCCGCGCTGGCAATCTGGGCGACGAGGTGGTGCTGGGACCTGATGATTTCAGGCTCTCGGACTACGACGCGATGATCCTCCGCCGGGGGCAGGGCCGCCGGGCCGAGCTCGTCCCCCTCACGGAGGTGGACGACTGCGTGCGAGCCCGCCGAGAGGAGCTTGCCGACCAGCTGAGGCCAGCTGGGGCGGCTCCACTGCCCCCGCCCCTGGGGCTGCCGCCTGGGCCGTCGGCCGAGGCTCCCGAGGGTGCGGACGCCGCCGGTGGCGCAGCCACGCCGCCCCCCGTGGCGGAGGACGCGCGCACGCTGTGGATCGACTACGACGAGCAGGGCGAGAGGTACAAGCCATACCGCAAGGCGGTGCAGGAGAGCTTCCACGTGCCGGACCAGCATTGGCCCCTCGAGGGCCCGTCGACATACTTGCAGGTGATGAAGCACATCGAGAGGACTGGAGGCGACCCGCGATTGTGGCTGCAGCTGTGGGCTCGCACAAAGCAGGTGGGCGTGAACGATCGAGTGATGCACGAGCTGAACTGCCTGGTGGACATGATGTTCTACGCCTCCACCTTCGACCAGGTGAATGCTCCCGCGCTGGCCAGCTCCGAAGTGCTGGCGCAGCGGTTCCAGACCATCCTGGATGCGTGCAGGATCCCAGGGCGAGCCCCGAACTGGCAGATGGCTCGGTTCTACAGTGGAGTGACGGCGGCGGTGGATGCCATCGCGCCCGAGCTGCGGCAGTGCGGCGCGAAGCGGGCGAAGGAGGAGATCGACGTGGAGACGGGGGCCCAGCGGGTTCGCGGCCTCCCTGGAGGTGGCGGTTGCGCCGGCGGCGAGGACGCGTTCGAGGGCGCGACCGGCGAGGGGCCGAAGGGCCGTGGACGAGGACGTGGTGACGGCGGTCGCGGGCGCGGCAGGGGCGCATTGCCCAAGGCCGGGAACCCCGCGGCCGCCGAGAAATCATGAGCGAGGAGATCGCCGAGGGGAATGGCCCCCCCCTCGGCGCGCAGCTGACTTGGCCCGGTGCTGGGCGCCTTCCAGCCTCTCGCGGAGAACGCCATCTGTTCCCATTGCCGCGGCTGGAGGAGCCACATGCAGCGCGTGGAGGCGGTCGTCTTAGCCGCGGGCTGCG